TTGAAGCAGTTAGTGAGGATATGAAGGTTGTTGGAGTGAGGACAGAGGATGCAGAGGACAGAGTGAGGTGGAGGAGGATGTCTCGCTGTGGCGACCCCTGAAGAGGGAACAGATGAAAGAAGTCAGAGCCATGAAGGTATTAAAATGTAAATGATGTTTATGTTGACTGTTTTAGGTAGCACAGACAGCAGTGTTGGGTCACTATCCAACAATCTGAATATCCCATTCCGAGATCTGGATCATTACAGTTTTTTATTACATTACTTTACATTCCTTGATCTGGTGAACTGATAATGCAGGTGTTCTCAAAATTTGGATGTATGAAAGTTATTGATTCCTAAGTTGCCTTGTTTGGTTGTGAGAGGGGCCAGCATTGGCTTGTAGCACTCTCTATTTCTCATATTTTCCATGACTGTGTGGGATCTTGCACAGCCAATCACATGTGTTATCCATTAGCTTGTGCTGAAGCCATGTCCTATTTTTCTTTTTTTAATGCTTGGTTATTGTAGCCTTTGTAACGCTTGGTTGTTTTTGATCTCCGAGCTTTTGCTCATGTTATATTATCTTCATTATGATGGGCTGCATATGGCGATATGAGCTTCATTGTCACTGTGACCAGATAGCTATAACTTTGCAAACACACTAAAGCTTCGTTAACTCAGCTTTGATTAGTTTTCTAAATATTAGGAACAGGTTGTATCAAGTTGTTCAGTGAGCTGGGAGTATAGCACTATAGCAGTATATTGTTCTATTTTTAAATGATATAATTGGTCTTAATGTTGAAAACCTTTTGACATTTGATGCATGATCAGTAATCCAGGTAGAAAAATCTAACAAAGTTAACTCAGGTCCTCTGGACTGACTGACAAAGTCTTTTAGATTAAAGACAAAACGTTTCAACAATTTTTAAAATTTATTTTAATATTTACTTTTTAAATTTTTGCATCCGTCCAGAGGACCTGACTTGACTTTAGGTTTTGACATACTGCTCTTTGAATTTAGAGATAGCGTTGTTGCTCTTTGTCACAAAAGATTGAAGCTAGATCAAACTGAGTTGTTGGAACATTCGAAGGTTTTACTGGCACAGTGAAGTGAAATCTATAATTCAGAGAGATAGTTTTGACATTTGACATTGATTATCTACCAAGAAACTGACTCCATATCTTTCTTTTTATGTTTCTAAAGGAATGAGGATCGAGAGATACACATATTCTGGTTTTGTGCACAAGGGCAGTACTTATTTTCAATTCACGCCCAGGTTTAACCTGCCAAAGCAAATTTTTGCTGATTCTAATTTCTCTCAAAAAATTATAATTAACAGAATGCAAAAATATATTCTGTAAAATTTGTAGATTTATTTTATTTTTTTAAATATCCTCCACCTTGCATGCTGCCAGTGACTTCTTAATTATATTAAAAAAATATATATATATATTTTTATTTTTTAATTATTCCAGTAGGTTAAATCCAACAGATAAAACTCTAGAAGTCAGTGATACTAATTATATTTGAAAATATCATCTGCAAGTACAGCTCTGCCAATCAAGAATTTTGGAAACTAAATTCAGAAGGGTTAACGATTCCTGCAACAACTCGGCAAATACTTTGAAATTGTTTGTCACTCAATTGTTTTTAAACATCAGTGTTTCTCCTACCATTATATAAGGAGTGTGCCCCGCCCTGTCAGCAGAACCGAACGCCCTCCCTACTGAACTGTTCTCCCCGCGCCCCCGTCAACAAAAATCACGGAAGCGATGAGCGCACTGGCCAGGCAAGTATCCGAGGGGAAACACTGACCATGTTCAAATTTTAAGCAACAAGACTGCAAGCCTCTTCATCTCAAAAGAAAACTGAGAACACTGTAAATGTTGACAGTAAGCCTGTCGCAATAAACAATAAATCAATTATTCGCAAGATGAATGAAAATTATCGACCTCATTTTCATTTATCGGCTTTATCGTTTCTTCATGTCTCTCTTTCTACCGAAGACACTGCATGACAAAAGGCTCAACTCCGGTTCTCTTCACTGACCCCTCCCTTTTTCTTTTCTCTTTAAAATCCATTTTGACCGTCCAAAATAAATCCCGCTTTTGCATCGTTAAAAGCAGCTAAGCTGAGAAGCTAAGCTACGAGCTAAGCTAACAAGCCGACCTCGGGAAAAACTTCCATATTGTCGAAACTCCAAAATTCACGGTTGAAATCCGTGCCTTCGTGGAAAAAGTTGTTTTTCTCTGCAAAAAGAAGCTGAGAACTTGTTTACTGATTTTTTTTTAATTAAAACGTTGTGTGAAAAATGCTATGCTAAAGAGTTCAAACCACACCGAGCGTCTGCCATTTTGAGAACCGAAAAAAGGAAAAAGAGACAGCCCACGTCACGTCAAGAGGCCTCCCTCCTATTTTTCTTAGAGACACGCTGCTCACTTCATCACTCTCCATCCTTCGGTTCAAACAGTCTTATACTGCCATCCGGTGGTCAAAAAAGGTATTACACTCAAAACAAATTAACCAACATTTCTTCTTAAATTTGATAATAATTACTAATGTCAAATTTCAAACAATATTATTGTTTATTGAAACAATTTCTGAGACAATTACTCACCCAGCAAAATTTATTATTGTGACATGCCTAGTTGAGAGAGTTTGGAAAATTCCTCGTGATACAACAAAGTTTAATCAGGTCATCTGGACATTTTCTTTTTTCTTTTTGTTGATGTTGAGACGTTTCATCCTTCATCCAAAGGACTTCATTAGTCCAAGGAGCCACAACAAACTCAGGCCCATGAGCAAGACACTCACATTGTGGACCAATCAGTTTGCTGGTGATAAGATTGTTTCTGGGGCACACCCTCTCCCTCATCGACTCCTCTGAGGCAGCCATAGCCAAAGTGCTTCAAAACGTCAAAGTTCATGCTCAATAATCCAGGTAAAAAAATCCAACAAAGTTCAGTCAGGAGAGCGGGTGGGCCCCAGAAACCATCTTATAACCAGCAAACTGGTTGGTCCACTGTGTGACTGTGCTGCTTGTGGGACTGAGTTTGTTGTGGCTCCTCGGACTGATGGACAAAACTTCTCAACAAAAATAAACCGTCCAGATGACCTGACGACTGAACTTTGTTGGATTTTTCAACCTGGATTATTGAGCATGAACTTTGGTGTTCCTCATGAATAATTTTCACTAACTAGTCTCCCAACACTTGCAACCCCTTGAGATACTGGCTTTGGTATGGTAATCCTTGACATCAGTTAGTTCATTGATTTTTGTCTTTGTGTTCAGTAGACTCAGACTGATGGCCCATCGACAAATGAAATACTCCAGATGGAATTAAAACAGTATGGCGTAGTATATAATACATACATAGGACAATTTGTTAAACCGTTATTTAGACAAGTTAGTCCCATTGAGCCACGAGGACTCATTTACAAGAGAGACCTGTTACAATACATACATGAATACAAAGTATACAATGAATACATAGTATAATTCCTCAGTTATGGCTCCAACCACTTTTTTGTTGTTGTTACAAAACCAATGAAACTTCCAATGTGTGGAATTTCATACCTTTTATTTAAACCATATAATTAGGCTTTACATTAAATATCGTGTTGGCTGAAAGTGGCAGTGTGCTGCAGTTTCTGTTTGCTGTCAGAAAGCAACAGCATATTTCCGTCCTCACTACTCAGCAAATCTCTCGAGATATTTTCAGCAAGTACTTGAAAAAAGAAAACCCAATGGCCACGGTGAACCCTGTGGTGTTGTGTTTCTCTTGCACAAACTGGAAAACAAGACAGACGTATTCTCTCAACAAACACAATTCAACATGCATCTTAGTAAAGTGGAATGGTGTTTTAAAAATAAAGCAGTGCACATTTCTACAGTGTTAATTCAGTTGTTTTTAATAAAACACACAGACCGCACAGTCATTTTTAAAGATATCACGATAATGCACAACTGCTTCTTTTTATGTATTTATTTTTTGTACAAATAAACACATATGGGACCTTTTTGGTCGTTTGACTTGTGCTTATAGTTCATTTTTCACCACAAATGCAGTGGAAAATATGGCATGTTTGTAAAGCTGCAATCATTTCAGTCTAGGTCTTTTATTTTAAATGGATTTTACAGGTTTTGCATTCTACTTCATTACAAAGTCATGACTAATTTATAAATTAATGGGAATTTCTTGTCTGGTAATCTGGAAATCAAGGTAAATATTAACAAACGTAAAAAACATATCTTAGGTGAAGTTGTTGATTAGGTTGTAATAGACACTTTGATAAAGATGTGCTTTTGAACAATCCATGTTCTTATCATTTAAAGGAGTAGCCAGATGACAGTCTGCTGACAGTCATGGGTTCTAGTGGTCAAATGTGATGGATGATTCAGCAGTTAAATGGTGTAGCACTGTTTTACAAAAAAGTGCAGAAAGTAAAAAAAAAAAAAAAGCAAACTTAATATCCTGCAAATCAACTCAAGGAAACTTTGTCTGCATAACAATCATAAATAAATGTACAGAATGAGACACGTCGTTTTTGTTGTTCAAATTAAGAAAATCAAATGTAATTCCTGAACGTTTATTAATCAGAGTTGGAAATGTCCCAAGAAGCAGGGCACACAGTCATCACCTGATAAACTATTTGATCACAGAGGAGCATTTGTTTGGAGAAAAGATGTAATGTTGGTTATTGATGAGTCACAGGATCATGTGAATGTATTTACTGTATTTTTCGGGCTATAAGGCGCACCGGATTATATGGCGCATTAAGCAAAACAAAACAGTCAGATAAGTCAGTTATTCAACTCATTCACAATAACCACATAACAATCGGTTTGAGGTCAGTAAGCACAACCAGAATTAATACATAAGGTGCATGTGATTACAAGGCTCACTGTCGATTTTTGAGAAAATTAAACGATTTCAGTGCGACTTATAGTGAGAAAAATACAGTACTCCAAGGGTATCCATATTTTAAATGTCTAACATTTGCTATTGTCTCTCTAGGTGCTGGGTCGGTGCTTTGTCACGGTGATGCAGGTCCATTTCCAGTTTCTGTCACAGGCTTTGCAGAAGGTCCAGCCTGTGGCCCAGTCCTGTCTGGCAGAGGCTCTTGCCCAGGCCCAAGAGCGCTGCGCTAGCTCCCGCTCCCAAAGCTCTGACCTCGGGCCCCTAACAGAACTAGAGGAAGCCTCTCGCTCATGGAAAGGTGCAGCTCAGGTATGCAGCTGTAACTCCAGGGCTTTTCCAAGCCTGAGACATGGAAAGACGGGCCCTGTCTGTGGAATTTGGAAAAAACATCTTGTTAAACATTCTTGTGAAATGCTAGCTGAATGATTTCCAGCCACAGTTTCCTCTTTCCTTTTTGCTAAGTTGGTAGCTCTTCTGTGAACCTGTTCCTATGACTGCACCCCTCCAATTACAACCCATGTGTAGGACCTTACTAATTCACAGGCTAATTTGTCTCTGACTGTCTTTTGAGTGTTTTTGTATTCTGAGAAGCAAAGAGGAGAGTAGTGGGCTGATTGATCTGTGAAAATTTTGGCATGTAGAGTGTTTGCCCTGAAGAAAATTGGGGGGGTGCATATAAGATGACCGCATGGAGTGTATTTCAGAAGCTACGCCCCATTTATTTAGTTATTTTACCTTAAAACAAATCCCCCCCCCCCCCCCCAAAAAAAAAAAAAAAAAAAATTGGATCTCACAAGGTAATTGGGGCAGTTTAAGGTAAAAAAAAGTTACCTAGTTATTGTTTTTGTAAACAAAATATAAAAGTGGAAATTCCAATTTATCAGTACATTTTTGTTGTAGTGTGTTTTTTGTTGCTCCATCTCAGAGCTCTGCTTTGTGCTGTCGTGTCTTCAGGCCACAGCTAGGCTGAGAGAGAGGGGCCGGGACGGCTGCCTGGCAGGCATCCAGGTTCAGCAGCTCTTTTGCTCCAACAACACCACCATCCCCGAACACCAGCTGAAGGAGCTCAACATGAAGATTGACAGTGCATTACAGGTACAGCTTCAATGGTCTGATCAAGCCTGAAGGTGTAGGGAAATGATCTTGACATAACCAAGAGAGTAAATTCTTAAAAACGTTCTAAAATTACTGGTCATGTTTCCTCCCAATCCAGGCCTATAGAGCAGCATTAGAAAGCCTGGGCCACAGGGAGTATGCACTGAAGGCAGGCTTTCATCACAACCCCAAGGCTGTGGAAGAAGCCTTACAGGTGGGTTCACCCATACTACTTAATTTAAAAACATGTAAGTTTAATATTCTAAAGTGGAAACAAAGTTTAAATTTGACTGTTGAATAAAGTTGATTACTATATATTAACAATTTTATGTTACCATAGCATGTTAACAAATATTTTGTTGTAGGTAATCATCACGGTGGTCTGTCAGTGATGTGTTTGGACTGTTGTGTGTGAACAGGGCTGTTGTGGTGAGGCAGAGGCTCAGCAGGCAGGCAGGATGCAGACCACCTCCCAACCCATCCAGTGCGAGCTTCCCACCATCCCTGTGCAGATTGGCTCACACTTCCTCAAAGGAGTGTCCTTCAACGAATCAGCAGCTGAAAACCTCAAACTGAAAATGGTATACATTCTTTGACAGCTCTGCTTTCCACTTTTAAATATCAAAATGTTACTTTTCAAAATATGCGAGTTTGGTGTCGGCGCTTTAATAAAAAAACCTCTGCTACTATTTTAGATAGTAAAAGCTTTAGTTGTTTATTTTGCTACTCATATGGTTGAACATTAATAAATGTTGAGAGCAGGCTGATTTGTTGTCTTTTATTTTTAGCACACCATGCTGCATCTCATTAAAGAGGTGCTGGGCCAGAATGGAATGACTTCCAGGGACGACTCTCCAGTTACTGAGGTCCTCAATCAGGTTTGTCCATCCAGTTGGAGAGGAGCCTGCAAGACAGCTGTGCAGCTGCTGTTTGCCCAGGCCGGTCTGGTAAGTAGAAATATCGATTTGGAAGGTTAATGTGGTTTTACCACAGTTGAGGAGTAATAAATGGAGTAAAATACATATATCCTGATGCATGCTCAATACATATACAGTAAAATATTTTGCTTTTATATTGAGAACCAAATGGCTCAAGATGCATTTTATCTGAGTTAGTTAAGCCTCAGTTTTAGTACCTGTGCATGTTTTGTAGACGAAAGATGGTTTAGAAGGGTCCTGTTCTTGACAAGTCCGTCATATTTTAGTCACACTTCTGCATAAGTTACTGTGTGCTTAGTGTATGTCAAGGTTTGCCATGTATTCTATTATCTTTTATATTTCTAATGGAGATGAGCATATCTTCTTCATGGCTTATTGGTGTAAACAAACACTCAAGAATCCAAAAGAACAAAAACATTCCTGTAGCATGTGAGCGAAGGGTAGTCTTGCCTGGACAGGTCTGCAAACACAGTCTCTCCCTCCCCCCTTGTTTAACACAGTGAGGGAGGGTCAACAACTGGATTTCTTTAGTAACACCAGTTTGTTTATGCGGCTTTTTTTCTTTGTGTGGTCTCCCTGTTTTGTATATTAAAACTGAGTATTGCCATCCTTGTGAACTGTAAAACAACTCTTGGATGATGAATGAGCTCTTTGCATTAACCCCTTATCTGAATCTATCAACACTCGGCTTGAAATAGATCACACTGCAGTGTGCATGCACACACACATAATACATTCCCCGTTCTTTTTAAAAACACCTGTATTACATGGTCATGCAGGGCAGTGTAGCTACTCTTCTTTTTTGTTCACTCAGATAGCAGTCAATTTTTCTCACTCCAAAATGACGTGTTAACCAGGGAGTATCTAGATTTAATCAAGCATCAAACACCATGAAGTCCTTTTATATCTTCACAAAACTTGTTTTAGTCACAATTTAAGAATTTAACAGTCAAATTTATATTAAGAAAATCACTAGTGTCAAATAGGATGAAGAAAGTGTTGTTTTTTTTTAATCTGAAAGACAAAAGGTCAGCTTGACAGAAGTAAAGATTGTAGCCATATTTGGTAAGACACTTATCACCTATTTCCTTAATTCCTTGAAGTGTTAACAAACGCCGACAGTGTTGTGGTGTTTATTTCTGATTATTTTAGTTTCTATTTTCAGAGTACAGTGAAGTATATGACCGCTGTCTTTATTATTGCTGTACACTGTCATGCCCCCATCTCACTCCCGTAGTTAATTTTGTTCAAAATATTTTGCTGGTCTGTTTGTCTCTTAAAAATAAAAAAGAAAGGAAATACAACCCAGGTTTTTTGAGGATACACATGCTCTTATAATAACAATAGTCATTTCCTGAAATCCAGGAAATGGGCTCCTCCCTTCTCTCCGTTTCTGTGACCAAACTCATGGGTTTTGAGGAGCCAAGGTCACCTTTGAACAAACGTGAAAAGATTTGCTCTCAGCAAGTATGAAGGTTCACCGGTGTGTCACTAGCTGATTGAAAGCATTCAGCTTCCTCACCTTGACTCGCCTCAAACCGCTTGTAAATTAATACCGGACATCAGCTGTAAGGGTTTGACCTCTGGCTGGTGTTAAATCTAACAGGCTTCTATTGAATCTTACTGCATATATAAAGGCATTGATTTTATATGCTAAATATTAGTTTTGTTTGCTGTAGATTAAAATCATATATATTATGCAAATACTGTTCTTGAATTTTTAACAGAAGCAAAATTCATTACAATAAAGCAGGAGATTCTCACAGTCGTATCTTTGTCTCAACAGGTGGTTGTTGATACAGCTCAGATAGAGAACAAGGAGGCGTACGCTCCCCAGATCACTCTGGAGGGATCCAAGGTGGTCGTCCAGGTTCCTTCAACATGGTGAGACCATCAAGATATAAATTTTTTTTTTAGAAATTTAAACTTGCTCGCTTATCTATAAAAAGGAAGTTTTTTTTGTAAACTGTAAACTTTACACAACACACTGAAAAGGAATACAACATCTGTAATTTAAAAGTTGAGGTTCTATGGGTGTTCTGTGAGAGGAAAACATCTAAAATGATTTTTGAGTTCACTTGAAGGAACGTTACATATTGGCTATTTATCTTTTCAACACACACCTGAGATTTTTTTTGTCTGAGACATTGTTTTGAAAATATTCTAGTTCATGATTTGTTTTTTCTTGTGGTTGTTCAGGTGTTTGAAGGAGGATCCTGCCACAATGTCCCTGCTGCAGCGAAGCCTGGACCCAGAGAAGACTCTTGGACTAGTAGATGTGCTGTACACAGCTGTGTTCGACATCAACAGGTGGAAGGAGAGAAAGTAAGTGGATTATAAGTAATTCTAAAGAACTGCTCAGTTTTTCAATAAAACAACTGTTGAGCTATTTTGTCATCTCAAGTGCTGTGTGAGGAAAAAATTTTCATTTTAATAAAATTATTAATTTGACATATTTTCTCCTCACCAAAGGGAGCAGGCCTTGCCCATTATTCAGATACAGCTGCAGCGAGAGAGCCCAGATTATGGCTGCCAGATAGACTTACCTGTTGGCCCCAGCTCCAAGACCTCCAGCGGATTACCAAAAACAATATCTAAACTGACTTCCAAGTTTGCCAAGAAGGTCTCATCCAGCTCTAATAGTGGAGGCAGCTACTCCATCCCCAGTACTCCATCTCGCAGCATGGCGACAAGTTCTGAGGATAAAGCCAAAAGCCTAGGCCACAGTGATGGGAGGCTACAGAGCATTCTACAAATGGGCAGCATGTCCTGTACCCCTGACTCCACTCAGCAAAATCAGCTGGCTAATGGTTTACTGGCTGAAGACCAGGGCATGAACCTGCCCACTGACCAAGAGATGCAAGATGTCATTGACTTTCTCTCAGGATTCAACATGGGCAAATCCCAGCAGGCCTCACCCCTGGTCAAGAGGAGGAACTCTGTGGCCTCTGCCAACCCTGCTGAACTGAAACCCCCGAGTGGTCCTCCACCAGCCTCCCAGTCTATCTCTCATAGTGCCCTACAGCCCCTGCCTCAGCCTCCACGATCGGTGCATAAGCAGCAGCCCCCGCCTCAAACACAGCCACTACCTTCACAGCAGCAACAACAGCAGCAGCAGCAACAGCAACAGCCCCCTCCTCCCTCTCAGCAGTCGTCCCCACAGGCCCTGCCATACTACCAGCACCTCTTGCAGCCCATCACTCAGCAGCAGGTGCCTCCTCCTCAGCTTCCTCCCCAGCAGTCCCCATCACAGGTCCTGCCACAGCAGAGAGTGGCCAGCAAGTGGCTTGGCACTTCAGGGCAGCAGCCCCCACCACAAGCCCCCCCAGCAGGGTTGTCACCCCTAGGTCCCATTGGACAGTGGGGATCCCCTGGGCTGCCGGACCTCAGTTCAGATCTGTACAGTCTGGGCCTGGTCAGCACCTACATGGACAGCGTCATCTCAGACATGCTGGGCCAGAAGCCACAGGGGCCTCGCAACAATACCTGGCCCAACAGGGACCAGAGCGAGGGGGTGTTTGGAGCCCTAGGAGACACAATGTCTTTTGACCCAGCAGGTGGGTGCACCCTTTGATACATGCCACAAATGGAAGATGAGCAATATTACATTATTCAAGTAGCCTCTTGTCTGAACTTAAATCACTCTTGGCTCATGAAAGAAAATTAGTTTGTAGTGTTCATATTAAATTAACACAGAGGGGTTTGCTAGACGGGATCAAATCATACACAAAAGGCAAGATTGTTACGTAAACAAAGGCTCTCTAATACCATACGGTAATTATGTTTAGCTGCTAGGCAGAGGATAATGGAGTGAGGATATTAGATGAGTGTAATTGTGTGTATTTATGTACCATCTTGTGCCCATTAAGATAGTTTGATCTAATTAATCTAAAAGGTGTAAGATAGGATAGACAGCTGTTTCCTCCATCATGGGGCTGCAGTTGTAAGTAGAAAATAAAATGCTGAATTTAGCTTCTGTCAGTTTCTATTTTTACAGTGCAGCAGACTCTTTTGTTGGCAGTCGAGGTCCATTGTGCAGAGTTGACTTACGGCTATTGTGATTTTTCTGCTATGGTAGACAGTCTGGGTAAAAGGATTGAGCTTCTGGGAGCGAAAGAGAAAAGCTGAGGGTGTCAGAAACTCAGTCGTGTTTATTCGCTCTCTCCATGCACAGTTGGCTCTGACCCGGAGTTTGCACGATACGTTGCCGGCGTCAGTCAAGCCATGCAGCAGAAACGGCAGGTGCAGCACATCCGTCGCCCCAGCAACACACGCAGCAACTGGCCAATGCCTGATGAGCAGCACAGGACCTGGCCCCACCCAGAGTATTATAGTGAGGGGTATGTATCCCTGTAACCCTCTGACTAACACTGACAGAAAACAGAAGTTTTTCTCAGACGAACAGCAGTACATTTTGATTAACCTTTACTTATTTAACCAGGCAAATCCCACTGAGATCACAGATCTCTTTTGCAAGGCAGGCCTGGACCTGAAGGCAGTCTAACATGCATGTTTTTGATCTGATGGCACAGAACACAGTCATTGTTTACTTAAACTATGGAAAATTCAGCAAAATGCAGTATTCAGTATTCCCTTGTTTGTTGCAGGTTTTACGTTCCAAACCCTCCCGCAATAAGAGAACATTTGCAAAGTAGCAAAGTAGTTTATTTTAATATTTACATATATTTTAAGGCTTTAGAAACCCTTCCCCCACTCTTGCAATTTTCTAAACTCTTAAGCCTACATCATTTTAACAACATATGTACAGTACTGTACGTGTAGCTACTAAATTTTACTTGCCAGCTCTGCAGAACAGCAACAGCTCTCGTTCCGGTCCGACTCGGTTCCATTTCTGCAGACGTACCCTCCACACAATCAATGTTCTAAACTCTTAAACTTACTAATTGTAACAACATACTTGTATGTAGCTAATAAATTTTACTTACAAGTGCCGCTCGGAGGTCCGCGTGGGCCAGCTAGGAGCTCTCAGGTTCACTTCTGAGTCTGAAGATCCGGTTCAGTGAAGCTCTTGAGCATTTTTGTGTGTGTGTGTGTGTGTGTGGGGGGGGGTGACTTTTGGTTGGGCGGCGCTGGACCGTAGGTGGTTGATTGAGTCCAAGTCTGGATGAAAAAACTCCCGATGGGCTACAGAAACAGGTCTGGACCTTTCGGCGCGCATCCCAGCTTAGAAGTCCTTGTGGGCGTCTACCAGCTCTCAAGATTCACCGATGGGTCTGGAGGTCTGGTTCGCTCCGGTTCTGGTCTGGTTCGGTGGGTTCCATGCGACTTCTCTGCATCTGCTGGGCGCCGATCAGATCAAAACTTTACCTCTGTTTTTTTTTTAACAGAAGGAAGCAGGGCTTCTGGGCGGGGCCCTGTTGCCTTCTGGGAAATGTGGTTGTTATGAGTGGGAGTACAGTGGAGGATCACTGAGAGAAAACTACAAAATGGTGGTGCCTGTCCAAAGTATTTTATTTTTTTGTTAACTTTTTACTGTACAGTACTGTATCCAGTACAGTCCCAATCACGTGTGTAATATTAACATTGACAATCGTGTCCTGTAAAAGTTTTTTTTGTGTACAATATTTTGGACTGTACGTTCACAAACTACGATAGAGCGAGTCCGCAAAAGTCGAACCACAAAGTAGTGAGGGACTACTGTACTATGTAGTTGATAATGCACATAATGTGCAAAAATCTGGTATATTACATTTAGATAGGTTTCTGACATTTCCTTATTTTTAGACTTTATTGTTTTTATTTTTTGCCAGGCTCCAGATAACATCTCTAGTGACAATTAACAGTTTTCAAGCCAACACATGTTTTTAGCCACAGGCTTAAAACTTAAAGCCAAAAACTTCCCCCCCCCCTCTGTTTGACTTGTGAGGCCAACTTTCCTGCAACACAACTATAATACATCATAAAATTTAATTGCATATGTCAATCAACTTGCTTATTTAACATTGTAAAAGTTGAAGTTAAAGCAACTTGGGAAAGTCTGGATGCCAGGTTACCTGAAGAGTGGCAGATATGACCTATAATGGAGCCACGTTAAATTGTTTGTTCTTTCTCATTGTGGAAATCCTGCCAACAAAGCAAACAGAGACTTGATAGAAAGGAATTTAGTGATAAAGAGAGAGCCAACGAAGTGACACTGAAGATGCTGGCAAGTATTTGCCTGCCTACTTTTGGGACAAATATGTAAATTTACCCATTGCTTGTCTGTAGTACTTTAACTTTTTTTTCCCATTTAGAATTAAGTCCTAAACAGATTACACTTCTGTTCTGACCAATTTAAAACTAAAACAGTATTATTGTGAGCGTCATTTTCATGGTTATTTGAAACAAAGTTTTGTCAAAGTTTGACAGCTTTTTAATGAAATGCTTTATGTGGCAATCAAAAATGCTGCGATTTAATTTCAAGTACATGTGTGAAAAACCATCATGCTTGCAGGTTACGCCAAACGTAAATGAGCATTGCAACCATGACCTCACATTTATCAAGCACACTTGTCAAACACTTTTTCAAAAGACAATATTTTTAATAAATTAATAATTTGTAGACACTTACAGGTATACAAGACATCCAAAATTTTTTCTGCAATACATAATATATTACTATCCTAGTGAAGTGTTCAGGTTTTATTTAACGTAATGGTATTTCTTCCAACTATTTAACTGTCAACAATGGTGTACCACAAGGCTCAGTCTTAGGACCCACCCTCTTCACAATCTACTTAATGAAGGTCAAATCATCCCTGATACATCCATACATTTCTACTGTGACGACACACTTGTTTATTATCGAGCTAAAACAGTTGCTAAGGTTTTCCAGCTTTTAAAGTCTGCTTTTGACATCCAGTCAGATTTGTTTCTGTCTCAAACTTGTGCTAAATGCTGATCAAATCAAAGGGATGTTGTTTTCAAACAGGAAGTCGGTACCAGCAGTGTGCTGTTTGCTGTAAATGAAAACACCCACTGGAAACGCTAACACATCTTATGGTTGAATCCTCAGTGAGGCCGTGAACAGCAGCTGGTCAGCCAATCAGGGGGATTCAGCCAGCTCTAGTGATGAGACGTCGTCAGCCAATGGCGACAGCCTGTTCTCCATGTTTTCTGGGCCAGACCTTGTAGCAGCGGTTAAACAAAGGAGGTGAGTCCTAAACTCATCCACTGGTTTCTGTTTGTCTCGTCTGTTTCTTCCCGCCCGTCAACACAGCGTTGGTCATTTATACTGAGCAAGCACTTAGTTGAGTTTTGACCCTCCTCACCGACACGGTCTGTTCTCAGTGTTTGAGAATATTTACATGAATTGTTTCTGAAGCTGTGAAAGCAAACTTGAGCATTACTGTCAAATTTATTTAGCCAGAATCCTAACTTCAGTTTGATCTCTGAACATGAGCACGGACGATAAGTAATGAAACTTTTTCCTCAGAAAACACAGCTGTGTTGAGCCAGAGGTGTGCACCCTACCTTCACCGCCACTACACCACATTGGTGATGATAACCAGGTAACGTTTGAGTCACAGTGAAACAACGCCAATAATTTTTAAATTTCAGGAATCTAATTGGTCTTATGATTTCTTATTAAATGCTGATGCATCACTTTGCTCCACAGGACAGCAAAACTAAAACCTGGCCCCCGAAAGCACCGTGGCAGCACTCTACTCAGACAAACACCATGCCCAATCCCAGTTCTTCCTTGTACCAGATGAACATGCCTCCTTCCTCCCAGTGGAGTGACTCCATGCAGATGCTGCAGTCTCCTGTGTGGTCTACTGCCAGTGACTGCTCGCCCTCTGCTGGGATCTCATCTGGCTTCCCCTTCAGTCAACAGCAGCAGCAGCAACAACACAAATCCATGACCAAGGGCTTCAAATCCTTCCCCCTCAAACCTGAGCATAGGCCCTCTTACCTTCACCAGTACTGACCAACGAGTCCAAGGTGCCACCGAGGACCTGCAGCTCTGATAACACGAGCCTCTAAATGGGTTCAGCTGCACCACATCCATTCAATTGGAAGGTTTTGAAGCCTCAGAGGCAACATAAACATACTGGTTCAACGTTTTTGTATTGATATTTTTCCATGTCAAACATCCCAATTTGGAAAAAGGAAAAAAAAAAGGCATATTTTGAAGTTTTTCCAACTGCCATGTTTTAACCATGAAAGATGCATGTGTCATGCTGGCAGCGGTTAGCCTAGTGGTCGTTTCTCTGTCTGTTGAGCTGACGTATTCCTCAGACAAGAGCTGGAGACGGCTCGGCCGTCACCCACTTGCTTCTGCAGCTGTACGTGTTTGTGTTTATAGAGGAGGGGGATTACGAGAGGTCTTGAAACGCTCTCATTTTGCCCATGAGTATACTGTGTCTACATAGCTGTAACTGCCAAATCTCACGCAAGATGACTCAGAGTACAGCTACCATCTACTGTTTCATAACTTGTAAAATACTAAAGTTGAAATATAAATATGTAGTTTTTATCGAGAAGCTTTGAGCAGGCTCAGCGTAAATATAGTTAGCCACTTCATAGGTGTAATTTGACAGAAATACACTTTTTCATCAAATGACCAGAGTTAGGAACCATAGTTGTACCTTTGTGCCATGTTGGTATTGATAGCACTTGCAGATTATTATTTCCAACCAACCAAAGTGATGTTCTGAGGTTGAATAGTGCTAGGACAAGAAAAGGGGCATTCTGAGATTGAAACATGAAGACCCCATACTGAATAAGAGCGCCATGTTCATCTCTCCAATTAGTGGTGGTTTGCTCCAAATTGACACTAACTCGCATAAACCCTAACTTTTTGTTTATTTGTTTCATAATATATTTTTTTTGTGAATAATTATTGACAGTATTAATCTTATTTTTGTATTTTCTTACATATACCATAACTGTAAGTATTGTAGACATATTGCATAAAACATATTTTCCACCTCCCAATATGTGAAAAAGCACATTTCTTTTTCTACAAAGTTTAACTACACCATTTATCAACAGAGGTTACCAAATACGCCACGCTAAACACTAAAACATTGTGTGATGAGGGTGTTTTTTTTGAGCCCTTGTTCCATCAGTTTCTACAGCAGTGGGCTGCATTTAAAAGCCCAGAATGTTATCTTTTTGTGATGTTTGCGGATGCCAATGTTGCCTGTATTTATGAAATGACTTCATGTTTTCAGATAACTAACATACTTAACATGTTTACAGAGATTTGTTTGCTGTATATACATATATATATCTTTTTATAGTTAATGTGCTTTGCACAATCAAAGTATAGGGTTTGTTGCTTTTTGTCTGTGTTATTTCCTGAACTGTTGCAGCCTTTTTTAAGACATTACAGACCTTGGACTGTAATTGTTGGCTTCTCAACTGTGTAAAAATGGTTTACTAGTGGCTTCTACAAAAAATTGAGAAAATAATAAAAATAACAAAAAAAACAAAAACATGTTGACCTGATAAAAAATATGAAGGGGGACCGCTTGGCGTATGTTGCTTTTTGTTCTTTTGAGCTGGCAACCGACTCTTTCCAAGTGTACCAGCAATGCAAAAACAAATAAAAATGACTAGCATTTTGAAATGCAGACTGTTTTTTTATAGACTGAACTACTGGAAACAAATATCCACTGTGACAATGTAGGCAACAAATGTGTAAAGATTCAAGGTTCTTTATTTGCATCACGTGGTACATGAACAAAATTGTGTACCCAAGGTCCCAACTACACCCAAATATAGCAAAAATATAAAAAGAAACTGTAAACAAGTATCTAAGATATACGCTAAACACTAATAATGTAAAAATAATACGGTATATTAAACAGCAGCCTGAACCTGAGTCTGTAGTGAGCAAACGGGTATAAATAAAGCAGCATAAACAAGAGATGAGTTTTTTAATTTTTATTTTTAAATCAAGTTTATTTGAGGTACTTTGTTGTGCAGGAAAAACATATAAAACATCACATAAGAAGCAATGGTTCAAATTTGAAGTGGGAATGTGATAAGTAGAAAAATAATTTTAATAAAACATTCACTGAGATCCTTCATGTCCATTCATAGCAGGGGTCGAAGCGTTGGATAAACCCTGGAAACACAAACATTATTAAAATCAATCCCTCACAGATCAAATACAAATGTAAGATGTTTAACTGTGTTTACATTTGATGAGGCCGGACTGTCAGGACTGACGTCTGCTATGGTCGCCAGGTAGACTATGTTGCGGTGAAGGATTTGTTGGTACCTGAAAAGGCGAGGAGGCCATCAGTCCGCGGGGTTTCACTTTAAACAAACCTCTAGTGACAGGAGTGACCTCTAGGAGCTACAGGAGCTCTGACTCACTGAACGCACTCCACTGCTCGTCCTTTCTGCATGTACTCCGTGATGCATCTGATCAGCTGATCGTTTTCGTCCAGCAACTGGGGTAAAAAAAACCAACCCATAAACTCGTGATGATAGCTTTTTAAATCATCGCCTGAAACGACTTTAATGTAATGAAACACGTCTAAATAAACGTCATCTGCCGCGTATAATCCATACGGGATTGTTCTGCCTAGCGGCTAACAGCTAATCAAGCCCCAACCACATTTAGTAGCTTCGTAAACCGTCTCCAACTTATCTTACCCTCTGTATTGTTTCCTGGTTAATTTTCGCTTTTCCTCGCTGTTTCTTGGGTACAAAAACAATCGACATCTTTGTATTTTTTATCAGTCGTTATCGGTTATGTTTACATCGCTTAACCGCGCATCGTTTCCGGTTTTTCTTCTTCGCTTGACAAAGTGAAAAAGCGGCGATGGTCCTCCTGCTGAATGAGCGCCACCTTGTGGACAGTTGAGGCGTAGCTTTGATATAATTTAATATTAATGTACGATAAAAAAAAATGCAGCTTGTTGACAAAATCGTCGTCATTAGGATCGTGACCCTTTCTACATAATTTGTGCAAAAAGTAAATAAAAAAAAGTACAGACAAGCCAATAAGATGCAGGGTTTTAAGTTTAAAATAGGCTTTTAAAATAAATTTGACATTTTCTAAATTTCGCTTGTCCAAAAACTGCATGTACAATTTTTCACTAAATTTAACAGAAGCCACAGTAAAATGTTAAAACACTTCTGTCAAAACAATTGCCAAAAAAAAAAAAAAAAAATCTGTTCTAAAAGGAATTTCTGAAGACAAATTTATTTATATTACTTTGATATTAATATAATTAGGCAAATAAGGGTTGGGGCATACTTTACTGTTACTTTGATTTTTTATTTGGCATAAAATGTGCCCCATTAAAACCACATTCTCAATATATGACTGATAAAACTGATTACCTCCTTTTCCAGATGTTAAGTAATTTGAAAAATCAAATACTTCAAACATAATAGTATGCCATACTTGCATTAAAATTAATTTGAGCATTTTTCAACACCTAAATAGGAGACTTCAAGATGAATTACAAGAAAAAACTCAAAAGACAAACTGTACAAATCTTTATTGTTTTTGTAAAAACGCAATTTTTGCTGATATTCAAAAAAAACAAATCCAGCTACTGAAAAACGTAACAAACATATGAACAAATGTCAGTTTATAATAGTTTTGTCTCTAATTTAATAATTTTGGTTACAGCAGGAGCCAGTTTAAAGTGAAGGACCGTATAGCAATCAACAGCTGTTTATCTAATTAAAACATTGTATTTCACTGTGACGGATACAAAAGAAAGAAAAAAGTTGTAGCTTCATCATGTAGTGCTAGTCCAACTTCTGTCATAATGTAACATTTAAGTTAAAGAGTGAGCTGTGCGGGGAGAATATCACCATCAAGGCACTCCCTTAAAACACGAAATATGGATCCGATTAGAGAAACCCACTTGAAAATACTGGCACAACATCCAGTTCTTGTCCTTTTGCTCCCGTCAGTAAAAAAATAAATTCACTCCTGAGAACATTCACATTGACTATGCAACAAGTGGAGCTACAAACAAGCCAAAGGGCTACACGTCATCAGAAATGCAGCCAACATGCTTGAAGACATTTCAGTCCATTTATAAAAAACAAAAAATCCCGTCTTGAGTGAACTCTTACAAAAACTGCAAGTGCTTCATTTTGCAGTGGTAAATGCCGACTGTACGAACATGGAGAGGAAAAATGTATCACTGAAACACAAAAACAACTCACAGGGAAGAACAAAAATGAACAACAGCTATGTGATGAAATAACAAGCGTACAAATTAACAAATTTAACTTTTAACAAATCTTTTTGGCAAGAGCAGAGCATTTTTAGTCAAACGTTCCTCGTTTGGGTTCAATTTTGTTAAGAGGTCATTTTATTGCAGATAATTAAAAGTAAAAAAACAACCCTGCAGTCGAAACATTTTTGTAAAGCTGAAATTTTGAAATTAAAACGCATCAAACAAAAATCTTGGCTGCCAGCTGCAAAACTAAAACTTCCCACATTACAAGGTGAGTTTCTGCTTAAAGGTTGATGCAACAATCTTAAACCCAGAACCTACAGCTCTGTAAAAAGCTTTACTGATCAGTAAATGGATATATCATGAGCTTGATATACATTCATGCTGGCTTCAATCTTAACTGTTCACCAAAAATAAATGAATGTTGAAGAAATGAAAAAATATAATCAGACTGGGCAGAAACACAAACATGCTGCAACGGGTAATGGTGCCAACTAAAACAGCAGAAAACAGAAAAGAAGAATAAAGCTCTTGATCCACTCGCAGTACAGGAGGCTCAGTACCAAAGACAAGTTTAGTAAGAAATTAATCCGACTGATGCAAAAGTACAGAATTACTCCAAAGCTTTGCATGTGCACATTGTCCTCACATCTGCTGGCAATTTAACAAAACTTCTGGGGAGGGGAACAAAAGTCTCAAAGTGGAGCAGAGGGAGCGGGACCGTCACCGCCCCCCTCCGATGTCAAGCGGTCCACTGAGGTGCTGGTGTTGAAAACGATGTCTTCGTTCTTGTCAAATGTTGAGACCACAGAAGATTTCTACAACTGAAATAATTTCATGATGAGTGGCTACAAATCTGTGAGGAGCCATCACTGCGGGACTACGCAGCCACCTTGTCCTTCTGGAAAAATATTAAAATATTTAAGTTTAGGCTTAAAAGTTCTCTTTAGTACTTTAAGTCAAGGTTCTTTATTGTCATTCACACCACATGTGGTACATGTGGTGGAACGAAAATGTGTACACAGGGTCCCAGTTACATACAACAAAAGTATAAATTGTAAAGATTTATACTAAGATTTTCATTTAAATACACGGGTGAAGATTCTCAGTCATCCAGGACATGGTAAATTAAAAAAGGTTCAAGACAAAAGCAACAGAACACAGATGGTTTGAGAGGGGATGAAGGAAGCCCCGTTTCTTTCTGCTGAAAAACCAGAGGTAAAGTTTTGATCTGATCGAAGCCCAGCGGATGCAGAGAAGCCACGCCGAGTCCACTGATCGGGACCAGAACCAGACCTTCAGATCCATCTGTGAATCTTGATAGCTGGTAGCCGGCACACGAGGACTTCTAAGCTCCAAGGACGTGCAGCGAAAGCTCCGGAGCCGTTTCTGTAGCCCATCTGGACTTTTGTCATCCAGACTTGGACTCAATTGGACCTATGGTCCCACACTAGCCAACAGAAGGTCTGGAACCCCCGCCCCCTGAACCAGAACTGGACCACCAGACTCAGCAATGAACCCAAGAGCTCCCAGCCAGCCAATGAGGACCTGTAAGCGCCCTTCATCGCTGCAGGTTACGTCTGCAGGAACGGAACCGAGTCGGACCGGAACCGAGAGCCACTCCTGTTCTGCAGAGATGGTAAGTAAAATGTAGGAACTACATATACAGTACTAGGCCGGTCGTGATAAACAATAAATCAATTAATCGCATGATAAATGAAAATTATCAACCTCATTTTCATGTATCTGCTTTATTGTTTCTTCATGTCTCTCTCTTTCTACTGAAGACAACGGACGACAAAAGGCTCAAAGGTGCTCTTCACTGACCCCTCCCTTTCTCTTTAAAATCCGTTTTAACCGTCCAAAATTGTGTTTTTGAATCGTTAAAAGCAGCTAAGCTGAGAAGCTAAGCTACGAGCTAAGCTAACAGGCTGACCTCGGGGAAATAACCTCTGTCTTGTCAAAGCTCCAAAATTCACGTGCCTTCGTGTAAAAACTTTTTCTCTGCAAAACAAAGCTGAGAACTTGTTTACTGATTTTTTATTAAAAGCTTTGTGTGAAAAATGCTATGCTAAAGAGCTCAAACCACACCTAGCTTCCGCCATTTTGAGAACCAAAAAAAGGAAGGAGACAGCCCATGTCACGTCAAGGGGCCTCCCTCCCATTTTTCTTAAAGAGACTCGCTGCTCGCTCCCTCACTATCCATCCTTCGGTTCAGTCTTATACTGCCAACCAGTGGTCAAAAACTGTACTACACACAAAAATTAACCAACATTTCTTAAATTTGACAATAATTACTAAATATTGTCAAATTTCAAACAATATCGTTTATCGCAATAATTTCTGAGACAATTAATCACCCAGCAAAATTTGTTATCGTGACATGCCAATACGGTACTGTGCGTATGTTGTTAAAATTATGTAGGTTTAAGAGTTTAGAACATTGTAAGAGTGTGGGAAGGGTTTCTAAAGCCTTAAAATATAATTAAATACTAAAATAAATATAACGTTGCTACTTCACAGAATCTCACTTACTGTGGGCGGGTGTGGAACTGAACCCCTGCAATAAATGAGGGACTACTGTAACGCAGCTTTAGGACTGACACCCAGTCATTTTCACTCCTATCAGGAAATTCATCCCATCTGTGAGTCAGACTAACAAAGACCAGTGCAATCTGCAGATGAATCTAGCTTAGCTCAGCTTTATAACTCGAACCCCACACCCTGTTCTTTGAAATGAGAAAGATGAGAAACGTCTTCCGTTACAAATAAAGTCCAGTTGTTTTTGTCTTGAACTTTTTTATACTTTAAAGCACAGAGGTGGTTGCATTTACCCTGAATTCAAAATCAGAGAAATCCCGGCCTCCTCTGCCGCCTCGATATCCACCCCTGAAACCAGGCGGGGCCCCGCGGGGAGGCCCAAAAGAACCTCTGCTGGATGGTCGCCCTCGGCCTCCGCGGGGTCCCATGAACCCTCGGCCGCGGTAGAAACCTCTTCCTCGAGGGTGCCTGAGAGGGATGCCGAAGGTCTCCGCGTTCATCCGTCTCTCCTCGGCCCAGGTTGGTCTGCGATCCCTGACAACAACAAAAACATTGTTTTCTCATTCCGTTTAAACGCATCAACATATTTAACTACGAAATATTAAATAAATAAATGTGGATGTAAAGCAGTTTATTTCTAATCCACTTGTAGTTCTGAAAGTTACATTTTAAAAACCTCTAAACACAATTTTTAAGTCAGTTCTAGAAAACTGGAGAAAATATTTGACTTACTTTGGAAATCTGCCGTCGCCCATTTTACTTAAAGAGATAAAAAACAAGAGTCTTTAAGTATTGAGTGCAGTTCAAACATTAAAAAAAAATAAACATGCAGCTGTTTTTATGGCTTTTAAAGAAAGTTGTCGAAAACTTTTTATGCAAAACCAAAGCAGACTGACAGAATGGTCTTTGGTCTGAACTGTCTCCATACATCTCCTCATCAAATGGAGAGGACATTGAACACAACGCTGCGCAGCTGATGGAGCTGTGCTGAACACCATCCGATTAAATTTCAGTCAAATAACAGTAAATTTAGAGCAGCGTGACATCAGAGACATGAGGTGAAACAGCCTCAGCTGTTGAGGTACCTTGCGCCGTCACTGGACAGGTTATCAAAGAAGGACTTGGTCTTGTCGTAGTAACATGAGTTGATCACGGCCTCCTCCTCCTCAGCCGTCCCCTCGGTGGCTGGATGTTCAGAGTCCGCAGTTTCCTCTCCGTTCAGGGCCTTTTCAGGTTTCTCATCTGTTCATCGAGCAACAAATGTGAAAACATGGTCAAACTGCAGCAGCGACCCGTTTTAACGTCACTGCTTTTAGAGGGGTCAGTGGATGTACCAAACAGCTGCTTCTCCTCATTTCTTCACTTTAAGGTCGTTTATTGAACAGCGGCGTTCTGATATTAACCTGATAATCACTTGTCATGTAACAAACTTGGAAGAAAAAAAAAAAAAAAAAAGAGACTACCTTTCAGTTTAAGCTTGTTTTGGAGCTCTTTGTCGATCTCATCCTTGTGAAACTGAGCATTGGCAGTTTCAAAGTCAAAGTCCTCTTCAAACTTCACGGTGCCGTCTTTACGCATGTTTATTATGCCTCTGCTGCGGTTTCCTCTTCCACGGCCGCGGCGGATGGGCTGAAGACCGGCTAAGGTCAAGAGAAAACTGACGTTTACAACGTGCTGCGCACTCGAATATCAGTTGTCAACACTTATCAGAAAACATTATCTATAATTTTTTCTTCTTGTTTACTGACACTTAACATGTACAAGTTTTCATGCATTTACAGGAAAAAACAAACGATTACACCTCAGTCACCAGGTAAAGGTATAATTTGCTTACCAAGATGGCGCCTGTTGGGATCCCGGTTTTCAACATGTTCATTATTTGACTGTAGCACCTTCTTCACCTCAGGAGCTGAGAGGAAAAGACACCCAGAGAGAAATCAGGCTATTTATTGTGGTAAATCATTTAAGATAATAACAATAATCCTACAACTGTTTTCTTATTAGTGCAAAATCATTTTCAGATCTACTACCAGATAATGCACTGGCCTCTATTGACAAAACAAAACAACAACCTCACCTGACACACATGAAGTTTAAAAGTCTGAAGACCTGTCACCAGGTTTCAGCACTATTTGAAGTCGCACTAAAACGTTTCCTTTCTGTAAGTACAGTTTTTGTTTAGCAGCAACTTCACTGTTTGTTGCAGCACTTCCTGTTCCACTCCAAACAATAAGCAGTACAAGTTAATGTTTGTAGTCATTTTCAAAATAAGTGTTTTTTCTGGACTAGAATTAAACAGGGAATGTAAGTAGACCCTGTTTTAGGTGCAAGATATTCAAGTGTGTCAGAGTTACACTGTGTATAAGAACAGAGTTTACGTTTTGCTTGTCTGAGGTAGAGCAGAGTGACATGTGATTTATCCACCACCAGGGGTGGAGCCACGGGGTGGCCATGGCTGCCATCTTGGATTTTGACCAGGTAAACCAGTTTTGATGACCTTTCTTATGCCTAGATACAGCCACAGACCAAAATGGAAGACGGTATCTCACTTATTTTTCTAAGTTATTCTTAATACTTTCACAAATGGAGGGTGTTTCCAAATCTACGACTTCGTTCTGCGACAAAAGGAAAAAAACAAATACGGTGGGCAATTTTATAATGAGTCTTTTTTCCAAATTTGTTTTGCAAATATAAATTGAAAAAAAAATAAAAAAATTACAAACCCAATGATGCTGAATCATTGTACTACTGCGATATTACAGAGCTGGCAGTTTTCCAACAAACAAACAGCGCAACCATTTTATTTTTGTAATGATCTTTTAAAGCACAAAAACTAATGTTTAGTAGTTTAGATATTTTGTTTATTCACAGAACCAGAAACAAATGCAACGGCCATTTTGTGCATCGTCTTTTTGTTCCACAAAGTGGCTGTTTAACAAGACACCAAACTTCTTACATGATTAATATTTTACCTTTTTTCTGCTCAAGAAGGTCGGGGGGTTTCTGGCTTCCAGTGGAAGTGCTGGTGGGTTTAGGGACTGTCACTCCAGTCTGACTCCTCTGTCCTACTGGTGCAGGTGGACCCGGAGCAGCCGACGATGGGGCTGTCCGCTCAACAGGGGGACTTTTGGTCAAAGAGTCCAGCTGAGGACTAGTGTGTCCTGCAAACAAAGAGCAAAGTCAGTGTAACACTTCATGTCTCTATGAACCTGTAAAAACTTGCTGCTGGGGTTTCAGACACCAGTAAGTCAACTCAACTCTGCTTTATGTACCGGAAAATGTTTTTTTTAAACGTAAGTGCACATGTCATAAGACTCAGTAGCTGCAAAGGAAAATTTTCTAACAGGAAATAATATTGATATATACAACGCCAACAAGAATAAAACCTTAAAAAAAATAAAAAATAAAACAGAAGATAAATAATAAAAAATGGTTAAATTGTGTCACCTGGACCAGTTTCTTTAAATAAAAATAAATCAATTTTTAGATAAAAAAATCTTTATATGGAGCAGTTTTTGCTAGATAATCTAACTCGAAAAGGGATTAAGAAGGAAACTGAGTCATTAACATTTTTTAAAAAATTATTCAAATACGTGTAACCCAGTCCCACCAAAATTCAAAATGATTTAAGTCAGCTACAAAAAAAGTTATTTTCAATAAAATGGACCAAAATGTAAAAACATTGCTTGTTTTCATTCTAGTAGGTTGACAGTTTTGTCTTTTTTTTTTTTGCATTAAATTTTATTTTTTTAATTCGAAAACAGTAATTAAAAACAACAAAACTAATCAAATTTGACAAACACCAAAAAGTTTACGTGCCAGCTCGAGCAATTTTAATGCCTTAAAACAGACTTGATGCACAGCGGTGCAGATAGAAAGTACTTCCATTAATCACATCTGACCTGAATGATCAAAATGACTTGGTCTGTTAACTATTATCACGCCTGTCATTAGGATAACCACTTCTTTCATTAAATATTTCCTGATCCGTTTTCTCCAGCTTCGACAGACCTGATTTTACCTGATGAGTCATCCACAAGCTTCTGCTGAAGCTGAGCGGATGATAAACTGTCGAGGTAATTCATTCCTCTAAATCAGGTGTTGAAGGGAATCATCTTAATTATGCAGGATAATGAACTTCACTAGTCATAGTTGGAAAACACAGACCTAAATGAGGACGAAGCCGATTGTACCACCACCCTGTGTTGACGCTACACTTAAAAGAAACCACAGTAATGACAGAAAACTGAAAGTTATGTGTCAACACTAAGACAAACATAGAATAAATACCTGAAAAATACTTTGATTTTTTTACAACACTACTCGTAAAGAGAAAAAATAGTAATAAAATAAACTTTTATACACAGAGACGTAATAAATTTGTAGAGAAAAACATCCCGATGAGCCACATTTTCTACCGAGTTTTTAAAAGCTTCACCAGAAATTTTATTTTAATTGTTTTAAAGGGTCACTTATGGTTATCAGTTCAGTGTTTCCCCTAACATTATACAAGCGGGGTGCCCCACCCCACCTACCAAACTGAACTTGCCCCCCACAACACACACACCCAGCACAGACATAGCACTAAGCTAGCGGCGTGAAACACAGGCCCTCTAGCTAAAAAGCTAAAGGCAGTGCTCACATTGCCTCTTCTTTCAAGCTGAACACCCCCCCCATACACACACACACAATCAAAACTGTCTGTATAAACTGTGCACAACTCAAACGTTTCACACTAAGCTAGTAGCGTGCAATACAGGTGCTCTAGCTAAAAAGCTAAAGGTGCCTCTTCTCTCATGAACACCACCCCACCCCACCCCGCCACTCAAAAACTGTTGGTACAAGCTGCGCTCAGACGTGTCTCCTTCCCCCCCGTCAACAAAAATCATGGATGAGATGAGCACCCCGCCATGGCAAGTTAACTAGGGGAAACACTGCAGTTTTAAGTGTATTCAAATGAACGTATCTAGTAAAGACTGAAATTGTACCCCGACTTGAGTGAGTTTGAGTTATACAAGAAAAAATATAAAGTGCTCAACGTTGAAATAAGATTTTTACTGTTTATTACATTTAGGTGTAAAAACAGGCTTATGCATCTAAATACCTTAAAATATAAGAGTTTCCCTGTGAACAACTTCCTGTCTTGACTGTTGACATACTGACTTGCATTTGCTGGTACACGCAACATTTCTAACGTTCTTTCAAAGTGTACATGTACAGTGTTTCATTTTATTTTTCACTTATTTTGAACCGGAACCCTTCCTTACCGCCAGGAGGTCCAAACTGCTGTGGTCCAATGGGTCCAACACTAAACTGACTGTAGGCTGGAACAGGAGGTCTGTTGAATGGTGCGTAGGACCCTGGAGACTGGAATGGTGGTGGTGCAGCTGCAGCATTTGAAGATCCAATCGAAGACTATAAAATCAAATATAAAGCACATTATAAACCTAAATATATTCTAACAATTAACTGAGACAATTCAGAAAATACAAGTGTTCAAAATCAAAGTTTTTAAACACAGACACATAAAGAAGTTGTGACGATGTGGCAGCTATAATTATAATTCTTTGTTGAAATCAGGTCTCTCTTGTAAATGAGTCCTCGAGGCTCAATGGGATTTACCTGTCTAAATAAAGGTTGAATGAAAACAATAGATTTCATGTTAGCAAAAAAGCTGCATAAGTGACTGGCTGAATTCTTTGTGAGTGAACACTGTGGTATTTACAATTTCTTGAACTTAAACAATTTAAAGACCTGCGTTCCATGAATGAAGTCATATCCCCCACTGCCCTACACGAAAGAATTTTAGACAAAGTTTAAAATTGTGATGAGAAATTATGGCGTTATAGCCATTCTGAACATAAAAAAACAATCTTGGAAATAATGTTATGCATGATCTCACACAATATGATGAGATGCCACATTCAAGACTTTATGCTGTGAATGACTCGCATACAATTACATCAAAATTGATCAACATATCTATAAAAAAAGACTGGATAAATTACATTTTTGTGGTACTAATGCCGTTAAACTGTGGCGACCATCTTGCATAGACTCTAGAGGTGCATCTAATCATTGCTTTCCACAAGTTTCATTCAAATTGCTCCTGCAGTTCATGAGATATTTTGATAACAGTCACAGCAAATGTTTCTTTGTTAAATAATAAATGAGAAAAGGTGGTATCAACTACTTTATTAGATGACTGTCTTCTACTAACAAGTGTGTTTCATGGCTCTGGAGCTATAATTAATGTAATAGGAGGAGACACCTTTGTCAATGCAAGTTCAAATACAGCTCGTGAAATATTTGATGATCCTGTGCACACAAGGATTGTTTTCATAGAAATACTGATTAAAATATTCATACAAAATGTGAGGCTAGTAAACTAACAAAACATACAAGAAATCCATTGTAAAAACAGATTATTTTAGTTAAAAGAAAAATCTGTTCAAATGATTAAAAAAAATCCCCCTTAATTCATGTTCGTACAGCTTTAAAACGTGATTCAATGGCTTTAGACAAGGATGCGCTGGTTTTTATAGCAAAACTAGGGGTGCACCAATAAATCAATTGGAAATTGGCCGATACTTGCATGAGAAAATAATTTTTTTAATTTTAACAACTGTCTGAACTTCCTTTATATTTCAGAGCACTACCTCATGGCCAGTTAAAACAAGTTTGTATTGTTCCTAGGATATTGTTCAAGGGTCTGTTTTCAATAAAATAATATTGGAAAAGTGAAGGTGCATTGTGACCTTATAACATCTGACAGTGTCGCTTAGAAAACAAAATCGGTATCGGCCAAAATTGAAATCGCCAGGTCAGACTTTACAGAAATGGGTGATCGGCCAGAAAACTGCAATCGGAGCACCCCTAAGCAAACCATTTGATTTTTCGCTCTAAATAGGGCAAATGTTACATATTTCCAGAAAAACAGTGCTATTGACGAGCAAATGTGCACAAAAGATGTTAACATCAAAAAAACTTTGCCAAGTATTTCCAAAGACCTTTCTGTAACTTACAAAACTCGAAGCACACATGCTTACCTGAACTATGGCAGGGTCCTGAGGAAGACTGCTAGGGGCTTTGGGTGGCTCACAAACTGTCAGGTCTTTTATATCACTTCCTCTGAAGATGATGTACTCAAACACTTCTTCTCGAGGGGGAATAGGTCTGTCTGTGGGTCGGTCTTCAGTGCCAAAAGAGCGAACTGTTAAATAAAAACCAGATGATTAGTTACATCTCACTTATTATGAACGTGCTATAGGACAACAGCATTAAGTACTGCCCCATAATATTTATTTAAAATTAGTTTTGAACCAGTGTGGCCTGTGTTCAAATATGTAGCTCCAACATTAAGTAAATTAAACGTCTCAATTAAGTTTCAAAATCGGCATTAAAATGTCATTTAGGTGGACAAAAAAACGCAGATGTGGCTTTATAAAAATATAAATTAAAGTAACAACGTGTAGGCTTTTATTTTAGGTCTCGCTGTACTCGAGATTTTAGCTTAGGCCAAAAACAAAGTAAACAAAGGACTCTGTGCGTTAGCCTTCAGACGGCTAACTAAAAGCTAAACTACTCGCTAACTGCGCTAACACACATTTCACGTAACCACAACTAAAATACGTTATATAAAACTTTCAAGGTTTAAATAGTCTTTAATTTTTATTTACTAAACATACCTTTAGCAAGAGCTACAGTCGAGTTTTCGGTGTCAATAGTGTACAAAATTCCTTCATAGCGGATCTCGGCCTTGGAGATGAGGCTAATCTTGCTGCCGATATACGGCGTCCCTCCTCCGCTCATGTTTAGGGGCTAAATTTACTGACGCGACGACTTCCACAGAATATTTTTACCGTCGAAAAAGAGAAAGATGTTCGACTATTGTTAAAAATTTGTTTAAATGCTACATAACAAATAGGTAAGCTACTCTCTAAACCACATTCGCCCGTTGCGTGAGCCTAACACGACATGGCCGATTTCATTTTCCTCTCTACGCCGCTGAGCATGCTGGGATTGTAGTTTATAGTGATCTCGCTTCTTTCTTTCTTTCTTTTTTTTTTTTGGCAACTGCAAAAACCTGGCCTGATCTATAAAAGAAAAACACACAAAATCAAACAAATATGTATGGCTTGAAAAATGCTCATCTTGAAGTAAGAAAAAAATGAGAATGAGAGCTTCTTTTTTCCATTCACAGTTCTTTGTTAAAACCTAATACATATCTGCTTTTGTAGTGCCAAGTAGGGTGCAGAACAGAAACAGTCATTTACATAAAAATAAGTTAACAAGTTAACATTATTTATCTGAGGAGCAGACTGCTTTGAGTTTAACTCCATCGCAACACTCTCATCTTGAGCAAGCATGAAGGTGACAGTGGAAAGGAAAAACTCCCTCGTGAGGAAGAAACCTTTAGCAGAACCAGGCTCAGGACAAGTGACTTACTTTGATTCAAACAAAACAACACTTTAAAAACAGATTCCTAATAAAAACTTTAAACAAGTCATCAAACTTTACCTTTGAAATGATCCAACTTTGGTTTAAAATACAATGAATTGTTTATTAAATAATAATAATAATAATACAAATAATAATGCCTGGTATGCTAAATAAGGGCAGCATGGTGGCACATCTGGTAGAGCTACTGCCTCTCAGTGAGCAGGTTACCCTGGTTCAATCTCTGTCCGGTGGCCTTTCTGGGTGGAGTTTGCATGTTCTCTCCATGCATGTGTGGAGTTTCTCCAGGTACTCCTGTTTCCTCCCACAGACCAAAAACATGCATGTTAAGCTGACTGATAACTCTACATTGTCCCTAGGTGTGAGTGAGAAAGTGTAAAAGTGTGTTTGTTTATTCTAAAAGGAAAGAAGCAAGTTTATTTAACATTGGAGAAAATTTAATTAATGTATACATGGATCTTTCTGTTCAGAAAACCCACGGCTCAAGCAACATCTCAGAAAGAGTGCTAGCTTTACTCAAAGACAATGTGAAATTATCTGATTGGTCTAAGATGGAAAGTTTCTGCGGTTTTAACCCTGCCCTTTCTTCGTTGGTGCTCAGACTTGGGCCAAGTTTCTCGGCACTACGCATCAGGAGTGGGCAGCACCTGTAAGGGGAAAACACATACACTCCTACTTTGTCTCCTCAACTGGATGACTTCCTTATATGGCTTCAAGAAGCATAGGAAACTGCAATGTTTCTCACACTGGTAGCCTTGAAACAGCCTTCTGTTAATCAAATTTATCTCATGTCCAAAAGAAAGGATGCTGTGTAAAACTTTAGCTTCTGTGCTGGGAACGGGTTCGCTGCTCCTGACTAAACCATGAACTATGTGTGTTTTACTGAAACAACATGCAACCTAACTGATGAGACAAGATGCATTAAATTTCTACTCAAGAGTTTTCATCATTTTAACAAGAGTAAAGAACTAATGGTTGTTTGTCTCGTTTTTCTCTATGTTGCCCCGTGATGGACTGGAGACCTGTCCAGGGTGTACCCTGCCTCTCGAACAGTGATGGCTGGACATGACACCAGTGACCCCCACGACCCGAAAAGGAAGAAGGTAAAAGATAATGGATGGATGGTATGCTAAATAACACAAAAGTGTATATGAAGTGTGATATTTTCCTTGTCTCTGCTGTTTTTATTCACCAAACTTAATTTCATGTGATGTTTCGCTCCATCTTACATTATAGGTCTTATTGTTCCATTTGTTCCTAACAGAGCACTTCACTCACAAACTGCAGGTTTAACTGTGGTTCCTTGAGTTTCTAAAAGCAGAATGGGAGGAAGAGCTTTCAGTTACCAGACTCCTCTCTTGTGGAACCAACTTCCAGTTTTTGTCCGTGACGTTGTCAACTTGTCTACTTGTAAGATCAGACTTAAGTTTTTTCCTTTTTGATAAATCCTATACAGTTGGGTTGGCTTGGGTTTCCTGAGCCATACCTTAGTTAGGCTGCTCAAGGCTTAGACTGCTGGAGGACAAATTGACCACATTTCCTCACTTAGCTGCTGTATTTACTTGCACTACTCCGCCTGTTTGTTTTTGTAACTACTGTATTTCTATATATTGTACTCAACATGTGTTTTTTTGTCTTTCCTCAAATAAAAAGTACACCTGGACCTGACATTCTGTGTTTGTTTGTTTCTCCTTCCTGTCCTCAAACCCCAGCCCGTTGAAGCAAATTGCACTTGTCCTGAGCTTGGTTCTGCTGGAGCTTTATTCCTGTTAAAAGGGAGTTTTTCCTTTCCACTGTTGGCTTGGTGCTTGATCAAGATGGGAGACGGTGACACAAGAAGATTCAACGCAATCTGCTGGCTTCCTTAGATAGATAACTTTTACTAATTGGCTTTATTAATGCATGTGAATGCTTTTGTACAGCACCCTGAGACGACTTCTGTTGTGACTTGGCGCTATATGTAAGAGTATCACTGCCTGCAGCTCCCAAGATGGCCGCTAATTGTCAACAGCTGTCGGCCATCAACCCGATGAGGATCATCTCCTACATAAGGCTACAGTCCAGTGTTACTCTTCGCTGGAGCATTGACCATCTAATGGTAGTGTTGTCTCTGGCTTGTTAGTATTAAGTAAATCTACTTACCAGTCTCTTTTTGTCTCCAGTGTTCCTGCCTCCTCAGTCCTGGTTCCCTGGTCCTGTCCTGGTTCTCCTTGTGCCTTGCCAACCACCAGTTGCCAGCCTTCCTCGCTCTGTTGGATCCTTGGCCTTATCCCCCTCTGGAGCTCTTCTAAGGATTTGGAGTGGACCCTAAGGAGATCTTCAAATCTGTAAGAGATAAAACACCATAACATTAATTTGTCTGACCATCTGCTGAACTCCTCTGACCATCTCCCTCCTCTTCCAGGAGCTACAGAGAAGCTACTATACATTTACCACTGTAAATAAACACCATCTCTTTTGTACTTGCCTGTGTCTGTCTCGTTCCAGGTCTCATACCACTCTGGGTTCCTCGAGTCATTATATAGATAAACTAAATTGAATTGCTTTGGCTGTTTATTCTGTTCAAATGTAATGTGTAAAATAGAAATTGAAACTTAAGTATGTAATGCGGTGTGTGTGTGTTCGGAAAATCGCTGGTTCAACTCCTGGTACCGACAATATAAATATGTGGGTGGGATTGGCGAAGCACCCTCACCTGTCTCCACCCTCATTTGCCCACAAGGGTCCCCCACTGGACCCTTGAGCAAGGCCCTTAACTCCCCCCACCCTGCTCACTCGGGCGCCCTAGATGACAGCCCTCTGCTCCACACAGAGGGCTGTGGTAGCTCAATGGTCTGTGGTTGCATCAGGAAGATCATCCGGCATAAAAAATAATTGCCAAGTTGTCGTGCGACAGTTTGTTGTGGCGATCACTGAAGCAGAGAGCAGCAGAAAGAAGGAAAAAAAAGTATGTATGCATGCATAGTTTTTTTCTTAAACTCTTATTGTGTGTTTTGATACAAGTATGCATATTTTTCAATAGTTTAAATTTACCAAAAATGTAGCATTTTAAATAAACTGCAAATAGTCAGAGTCAGAGATTCTTTATTGTTGTTCGCACCACATGTGGTGGAACAAAATTATGTACACACAGGTCCCAGTTACATCCAACAATAAAAAGTAAAATAAAAACAATGATAACTAAGATATGAACTAAAAAAAACATCAACTAAAAATACACTAAGCACTAATGGCATAAAAACATTACATCGAACAGCAGCACAAACATGAGCATGAGTCTGTGTGAGCAGATGAGCACGCATGAACACATCAACATGAAACAAATCATAAATCATAGATTATCACACTTCAGATGATACATTGGAGGAAAATGACACAAAAACGAATATTGCTCCTTGTTTTCAGTTTCTGTTGTATTCAGCACCTATGATCAGATAACACCATTATCCTAGTCAGAGAAAAATAAAACAGGACCATCTAGAAGATGTGCCTATATTGGAACAATGAACAAAAGTGTATAAATATTGTGCAAAACGATGAGGAGCAACTTCAGCTATTTTAATCACAATAAAATCCAAATGTTCAAAATAATGTCTCACTGCTTTGTTTTCATTCAGCTTTAAGAATATTGCAAAAATAAAGAAAAGCACACCACAGCAACATCAAGTTCTTACTTGAGACGAGTATATAACTACACAGTACCTACACTACTACAAGAGTCCATTATTCTTATTTTATTGTGTTATAACTAAAAACTTCCAAGCTCATTTCACTTTATTTCAACACCTGGCGGGTCTCTTGAAGGCAGCACTTGCTTCCACTCTCATTTCATGACGTCAGAGTCATTCCCACAATGCCTAGTAACACGCATGCGCAATATACTAAAATGTAAGAGAGCTCTGTGCGATCAGAGATGGCGGGCGCCTCCGACCCCCTGGAAGATATGCTCTTTTCAGAGGTGGATGAAAAAGCTGTCAGCGACCTCGTAGGCTCATTGGAGTCTCAGCTTACTGGACAAAGCAGCTCTGCGGTTAAAACGGACGAAAACGGAGGCGCTGGCTCTGTGGCCCCTGCTAACCATCACTTAGGAAAACCGCTACCAGCTCCAGTGAGCACCACAACACTAGAACAACAACAACAAGGACGGCGTAATAAACCCGAAACGCTCCAAGAAATAAACTCTAAAGACGCTAGCACGGATAAAACTGTCACCTCTCCCTCACTACTGGGCTCCACTGCTGCTTTTGGCGAGCCTCCCACCACTTCGGCTGCCTGCGTGAACGCCACTAGCAGCGGTCCTCGATCACATGGAGCATCCATCACAACACTGGCTGCATCTGGCGGGTCAACTTCGGCATCCCCGCAGGACAGCATCAGCACCGCGGCAAGCCGGAGCTCCACGGCTAGTCCGACCACGGGGGAGACGTCAGCCGAGGCGAGCACGCCGAGAAAACGCATCGCGACGCCGAGGAGGAGCGCTTCCGCTCGGATCAAGAGTTTGAACGGCGCAGCTGTGACGACGAGGAGGAACAGCAGTGCAGCGGTGGCAGAAAACGTCAGCTCCCCCGTGGGTTCAACTCCACCAAACTCCACCCGACTGCTCGCGTCCTCCATCAACACCTCCACTTTCACCCTGTCCAACGCAAGCCTGCCTGTAGGTCAGTCAGCCATTGCTCTCGACAGGGGGACTCCCACCATTGCTTTGCGGAGGCTCCCGAGTCATATTGTAGCCAGTATAGCCCAGAATGGCAACGGGACCAGTGTTTCGGCCCTGGTGGTCCAACAGGGCGCACGTCTGGGACCTGTCACCTCATCAGCTTCCCCGGAGGGGCACAGCAAACCAGCCACGGATACTGGGTCTTCCACTGTAGATGACTGTCAGTCCAAAATTGTAATGCCAAGCCAGTCTAGTAGTGTTAGCTCAGTGATAAACACTGTATCCTCGACTTCCTCTGCTGCCACACCAGCTCCAACCACTACAGCATCTCCAAGCACCACCACAGTGAGCCAGCCTCTGAGCTCTGCACCTACCACAGCTGTGTGCGGGACAGGGGTGGCAACTTCTGCTGCATGTGTGACTGTTCAAACTGCACCTGTCATCACTACTACTACTACTACTACCATCAGTATGATCAGGCCCGCAGCTCCCTCTCCAACACCCGCTGTGGCCACATCTGTACAGTCTCAACCCCGTCCTGGACTTGCAACTCCTCAAAGGATTGTAGCCCCCCAGCTGATTGTCAGACCTTCCCAACAGCAGACGACCATTCAGCTGCCCCCTGGCTTTACCATCCCACCGGGTAAGGTTTTGAGAGCAGTGAAAGGTGGAGCAGAGAAGGTGGTGTTAAACACCTGTGTAATAATAATACTATAAATGTCTGATGAGCCTGTATAGCTTATTCCGTGTTCTGTATGTTGCTCAGCTGCTACTATTTTTCTGAATAGGTGGCAGAGCTGCAAAACAAATTAACACCACACACTTAATCAAAGCTTTCAAGTTCAAGTCAACTTTATTGTCATTACCATCACTTGTGGTACATGAGATGGAACAAAATTATGTACACAGGGTTTTAGTTACGCCCCAAAATAGCAAAAATATAAAGTATAAAAAGAAACAGTAAATAAGGATCTATACGCCAAACAAACACCAAACGGCATGCTTAAAGATCTAAGATATACACTAAACACTAATAAAGTAGAACAATATGTCGTAACAACAGCAGCACAAACATGAGTCTGTGCTGAGCAGATAGGTATGAATGAATACAGCAGCATGAGATAATCAGCAGCATGAGTTAATCAGCAGTGTGAGTTAATCAGCATGGATAGTCAGCAGCACAGATAAATCACATATCACCAATTATTAATTCCAAAGGAGCTTTGACAAATAAAATGCTGTAGCAGTACAGTTGAACTAAAAGTTGATGGATATGACGTTGGTCTTTAAAAACAAAGTAGATATTTTTTTGTTTTGCAAAAAATAGTAAAGTGGACATGATGTCACACAGCTCAATGTATTTTCAGTGTGGAACATTTCAACCACAACAGATGTGGTAATTCATTCCTTTTTTTCGATACCTGCTTTATCCTGTTCAGAGATGTTAGTCTGGATCCCATTCCTGCTGTCAGAGAGTCACTAATTGGTCACAGGACAAAGACAAATGGGACAGACATCACTGCACACTCATGCATGAGAGTACTTTAATATGACAAATGAACCAAAACTATATTTTTCGGGGCTGTAAGAGGAAGTTGGGGTAACCCGACTAACATATCGCACAGGTTTAGGGAAATTATACAAACGCCACAGAGAAGAGCCAAAACTCTGAAAACAGCCTGAAAAGTTTCCACGAGGTGACGGGAGGCGACCGTGCTGTCCATTAAACCTCTGAGCTGCTTTTATACATTAGTTACCTATAACGATGATGGACACTGAAAGGATTTTTTTTTTAACAGAGATAATTATCCTGTTTTACAATTTGAAAGTGAGTAGCAAGAAAATAAGTGATGCTTGATGGGAAACAATGATTCTCTCAGGCTTCTTGTGTCCACCAAGTATCAGGTTCGTCACAATTCATTCAACACTTGAACAGCAAAGATCACGTACATACCTCAGTCTAAGATTTACCCTTGGTGGAAAATACAGTTTGAATCATGATATTTTGTACACGAACAAAAATCAGTAGTATAAGTACTTGCTGAAAAGAGGCAAAAAATATAACTGGAAAACAATAATAAAACACTGCCTTAGGTTAAGTATATAAAAAGTAGAAATTTCTGAGCAATTCATGCAATACACTTCATATTGTTACAAATAGTTTTTATAGTTATGTTTATAACCTAATTTTTTAAATTATTTTAGGGAATCATTATTAAACAGTATTATTTTCTTTGACTTGAACTGGCTGTCTTATTAAACTCCATGTTAACTCAAGTTTTGCTAAATAGCAGAAACGAGCAGATAGTAACAGTGGACAGATGGGTTTTTGTACCGCGCTTGAGCACTGTTCTGGTCATCTAACCTCAGGAATCACAGTTCAGTCTCAGAATTGGAACAGGACCAAAAGATGAACTCATATATTTTCATCTTGACCTGACTGGGGCAACTGCCCAACTGTGGCACCATAATAAATCTAGTCTTGGCCTAAAGTAAACATTTTGGGCAAGTTCTTGCAACTTAAATGGTCACCTTTGTACTTTAACTACCAGTATATGGTTTTAGAGTGTTTCTGGAAATGTTGCATAGCAAATGGTAGTTTTTTTTATGGCTTTAAAATGCCTAGTCATTTAACATTAGGTACAGATTTACAAAAGTCATACAATCATTTAAGGTAATATACAAGACCGTAAAAAACATTAGGTTTCCATTTATTTCTTCTTTGTGAGTATTAGATGTAAATGTATCTTGTGGAAAAAAAATGAGCATACTTCAAAATATATATTCTTTAGCAACTTTGTGTAGTCCTTTTAACATAATTTTCTGTTAAACTGAGATTTTTTTTTTTAATTCTATTTTTGACTCCTTCATGCAACATGCTTTCATTTGCTGTTTTTATTTATTTATTGATTGATTTAAGTTATATGTTCATTCAGTACCAGTTCATAAACTCTTTTGCAACACCTTAGTGGGAGTCACAGCTGACAAATTCATAATTTCTTTGTTTTAGAGCCATTTCTTGGTTGATAAATCCACTTTCATCTCAACTTCAAGCAAACTACAAGAGAGAAAGGGAGACAAGGATTTAAATATTCAAAATTGATATCCTCGCTATCACTAACTACAAAAGAGGAGCATAGAGGAGAGGTGGTCTGTCCATCAGATGAGGTTTCTCATCATCTTGGGTCTGTAGCAGCACAAATGAGAGATGGTTTGTGTTCATCTGAACCATCCTTAGTGTATAACCTGACCACTTGGTAATGGTAAAATATTCACCACCCTCATCCAAAATGTACACAAAATGTGATAGTTGGTTTGGATATAATACGAAGAGAAGATTAATGTGACATATGCCCTGATTGTTGCTCCTTGTTACTCTTTAGGGATGGTGCTGGTACGTACCGAGTTGGGCCAGTTTGTCTTGGTTCCTCAGCAGGCTTTGGCTCAAGTTCAAGCTCAAGCTCAGGCCCAGAACAACATGAGTCCGCGACCTATGACCCCGGCCACCGGGACATCCTTTAATGTAACAACTCCACAGGTGAGACTCTGCTCTGGATGACTGGAACCATTTGTAGTCGTTCACTACTGATTGCACCACACAACATTATTGTTCATGTGAAAAAGAGGAATGAGAATGTTCTGCTCTTTGAATACATTAAAGCATATCTGGTTAATTTTATTACAGTTTTTATTTTGACAGGGACTTGGGTTTATTTTGTATATCCTGATTATCTTATATTTACATGAAACAAAGTACAAGTGTCGTGAAATGTTGAAATATATTTACATTTTGCATTCTGACAAAAATATAAGGAACATGCCCTACAGTTTGTCATTCACAGAAAAGCTTAAAACATTGTATTTCTCATCTCCTGTTTTCTTTCTACAAACACAAAGAAACTAATTATTGATATCTGGGAGTATCCTAATTTTTCTTTAATTTCATTCATTCAGTTAGATCCACTGATGTGTTTGAGTGTTACCTTTTGACTACATGTACAGAACCAGAACTTCTGTGCACAGCTTTAGTTTAAATTCACATAGGTCTATACCGCAAAGCCATTATCATGCTCTCCATAAAACAAGGCAGTGTTTAGCTTAATGTTAAAAGTATTGCCAAATGATTAAAGCAAGAAAGCTATAAGTCCCTCTGAACTGTGGATTTTTCCCTCCTAAAGAAAGAAACAATAACATGTTCAGTTTTTCTTTGATTCAAGTACTTGTACACTCAGCGAGAGATAAAGTCAGATAAAAAGTAAGAGCTGTTGAGTTGTTCAGCTGTAATCTGAAAAGGAGGAGCCAACAAACAAAACTGATTCCCACAAACAGCATACCCCATAGTGGGGGGGAAATAAAACAGTTTGCTGGTGCTAAGATGGCCTCTGGGGCCCACCCTCCCCCTCGTCAACTTCTCTGAGACAGTCATGCCAAAGTGGTTCAAAACACCAAAGTTCATGCTCGGTAATCCAGGTATAAAATCCAACAATGCTCCTCAGATTGAAGAAGTCCTTTGGATGAAGGATGAAACATCTCAGCAACAAAAGAAACAGTCCAGATGACCCGACTGAACATTGTTGGAATAAAATGGATAGTAGTATCTCATTCATGTACAAAGTAGAAAGGAGCACTTACTAGTACTTTGACCCCCAGACTAGAAGCAAAGTTTAGGAAAAAAAAACTGGAAGTTTGCCTAGTGACTGGAGAATATGTTGGAAAAACTTGTGGACAACAGCAGCATTTTGGATTTGGTGTAGAATGAAATGGACAAAGTTACTGTAGACCGACAGATGATCACCTGGGATCTTCTTTGTTGAACGGAGTGTGCGCTTCAAGCTATTTCCAGGCTAATATCAGCATGATGATCTTTAAAGAATCATACCTTTGGGGAGCAGAAGAGAAGATATCTGATGCTCAAGAAGAAGAAGAGAAGATGATTTTCTTGTTGAGCGTCAGGTGACACTTAATAACTTTTCTTTGTAATTTTAACCAAAGGAATGGAATGGGAGAAGTCATGGTCAAGGTTCTTTATTGTCATACGCACCACATATGGTACATGCGGTGGAAATAAATTGTGTACACAGGGTCCCAGTTACATCCAACAAAAGTATAAATTGTAAAATAAACACAGTAATAAGAGCTAAGATGAACTAAGAAATACACTAAACTAAGAATACGCTGAACACTTTATAATGTAAAAACAGTAATACGCCGAACAACAGCAGCACGAACATGAGTCTGTGTGAGCAGATGGACACGAATGAACACAGCAGCATGAAATAAATCAGCAGCAATGAGATCAGCAGCATGCATAATCAGCAGCGCATATCAACAATCAAAGGAGGAGAAAGGTATCAAAAATATCTGGGTAGCTGGGTTACAAAAAACTTAGTTGGACACTAATCTCTAGCAGCGACAGTAGTGCAATTTTCACGAGTACAAAATAAAATACACTCAGTCTCTTTTAAACAGCAACAGTTGTGCAAAATGTTTGTACAAGCATATATATGCGTAACAATGAATGTATAAACACCTTCTTAATACATTGAACAAAAATATAAAAGCAACACTTTTGTTTTTGCTCCCATTTTTCATCGAACTCAAAGATTTAAGACTTTTCCCTTGTACAAAATGAGGCTTTTTCTCTCAAATATTGTTCACAAATTTGTGTAAATCTGTGAGCACTCCCTTAACAAAAAGTAGTACATTTGAAGTTTATTTTTTGCAAGTATACTTTAAGTTAAGTATAAGTATATCAAGTATACTACACACCATACTTGTAGTGTACTAGAAGTATACTGATTTAATACTTGTTTGGACTAAATTGGGACATTTTTATACTATATTTAAGTATATCAAATAAAGTTGATAAAAAGTAAACTTCAAGTACACTTCCTCGTTTTTAGTGTAAAATAAGTATACTTGTAGTACACTTAAATAAGCTACTTTTTGCTAAGGGCTTCTCCTTTGCCGAGATAATCCATCCACCTCACAGGTGTGGCATCTCCAGATGCTGATTAAAGGATTGCGTGATTATTGCACACAGGCGAGCCTTAGGCTGACCACAATAAAAGGCCACTCTAAAATGTGCTGTTTTGTCACAGAGCATGATGTTTCAAGTTTGATGGTGCTGCAACATGAGTTGATGGTCGTGGATGAATGGCACAACAACAGGCCTCAGGGTTTCTTTTCGGTATCTCTGTGCAGTCAAAATGCCATCAATAAAACGCACATGTGTTCGTTGTCCATAACATACATAAATACATATATAAACTTAAATTTGTGAATGACGTTTGAGAGACAAAGGCCTATTGTGTACATAGATCTTTGAGTTCGGCTCGTGAAAAATGGGAGCAAAAGCAACAGTGCTGTGTTTATATTTTTGTTCCGTCATGTTTAACAGATTGTTCATGTTTAGAATATTCATCTCTCTTGCGAAAGTCTCGCCGTGGGGAAGAAGCTGAGCTTTAGCATGTTAATGCGGGCTCGCATCACTCTGAAGTTCAGAGTCTGAACCTGCCACAAGGAGGTCTGGTGAACAGAGAGTGTCCTGGATGGACGGGGTCATTCAGGATCTTTGTTGCCCTTCAGAGCTGACGGCTCGAGTAGCTCTCATGCAGGCACGGGAGCAGGGAGCCAATGACCCTCTGAGCTGTTTCCTCTGCAGTGCAGCTGCCATACCACACTGTACATCCACACACCAGGACCCTTTCTATGGTGCAGTGGTAGAAGTTCCTCAGCAGAGGTGGAGGAAGTTTATTCTTCCTCAGTGCCCTCAGAAAGTTGATATGCTTCTGGGCTTTTTTGATGATGTGGGTGGTGTTAATAGTTCAGCTCAGGTCCTCTGAGATGTGCTGACCGAGGAACTGGAAGTTTTTGACCCATTCCACCTCTTCCCCACAGATAGTGAGTCTTGAATGCAACGCAGGCCTCGACTTCTGGAAGTCAATGATAATTTCTTTTGTCTTCCTGGTTTTGAGGTTGAGGTAAGAATACCACAGCATGATGCTACCTACACCGTGCTTGACAGCTGGTACAGTGTTTGATAGCCCAATCTTTGTCACGTCTGGTCATAACATGTCCTTGTTTAGCAAAATGAATAAAGCTGTATGTGTGTATTCGTTTGAACATAGAAAAATAAACACACGCTTCAAATCAGTCATGAAATGCCCTGGATGGATGTGATCTCCATCACCATGATGATTGTATATAAAATTCTGAATGCAAATATACATATTTTCTCCGTGAATTAAAATATTAAAAGTAACTTCATCTCATGAAATATACGTGCGTCTCAAAAAATTAGAATATCGTGAAAAAGTTCAATATCTTTGTCAGTCATTTCAGAACATGAAACTCATTTATGATATAGATTCATTTTACACAGAGTGAAATATTTCCAGTCTTTATTTCTTATCATTTTGATGACTATAACTTACAAGTAATGAAAAACCAAAACTCAGTGTCTCAGATAATCAGAATATTCCACAGCCAGCTTCTGGTACCTTTGTCAGTGTGTGCAGGAGCCACGTCCTGCTGGAAAATTAAATCAGCATCTCCATAAAGCTCCTCAGCAGAAGGAAGCATGAAGTCTCTAACATGTCCTGGTAGATGCTGCGCTGACTATGGACTTCAGGAAACAGTGGACCAACACCAGCAGAGGATATGAACCCAAACCATCACTGACTGTGGAAACTTCTCTGGACTTCATGCAACGTGGATTCTGTGCCTCGACTCTTCCTCCAGACTCTGAGACATTGATTTCCAAATGAGCTGCAAAATGTACTTTCATGTGAAAAGAGGACATTGGAGCACTGAGCAACAGTCCCGTTCTTTTTCTCCTCAGCAGGTAAGACACTTCTGATGTCTCTGGTTCAGGAGTGGCTTCACTTGAGGATGAGACATTTGTAGTTCATGTCTCAGAGTTAATCAGCTGATTAAGGTGTGACGCCATGAGTTTACATTATTGACCCTCTTCACAATATTCTAAGTTTCTGAGACACTGAGGTTTTTTTTTCATGATCTGTAAGCCATAATCACCAAAATTACAATAAATAAAGGCATTAAATATTTCACTCTGTGTAACGAATTTATGTAATATTTGAGTTTCATTATATAAATTGGGAACAGTGGAGTCCTCCCAGAAGAGCTGGAAGAGGTGGCTGAGGAAAGAGATGTCTGGGCCTCCCTGCTCAAGCTGCTGCTCTGTGACCTGACACCAGAATAAGCAGAAGATAATGGTCAGAGAGAGGGAGAGAGTCTAGAGTTTCTTTATAATTCGCATCACATGTGGTACATGTGGTGGAACGAAATTGTGTACACACTTACATCCAACATTAAAAATGTAATATAAAAAGAGTAATAAGATCCAAGATATGAATCTGAACTAAGATTAACTGGATGGATGAATGAATGGATACGAGTTTCACTTTCTGAAATGATTGACAAAAAAATGTGAATTTTTTTACATTTTTATTTTTTTAGATGCTCCTGTATACATTAAAATTCTGTTGCAACATTTTAAAAAGTCTGCATCCAGATGTACCTGCAAGATGTATCTACGGTAATCATCTAAATGTATATGTCACATAAAAAAAAACAAACAAACAAAAAACTCAGGTGACGGGCGCACCTGGCCCAAGTTAAACATTTACATCTGCAAGTAAAATACACTAAACGCACATATTATTAGAATGTACTGTAAGTGTCAGAGAACCTAGTCTTAGGGAACAGCGTAATCAGAAACATCCATCTATCAATCCATTATCGTTACTTGCTTCTTTGGTCACAGGGGCTTGCTGGTACCCATACCCAGCCATCACTGTGCAAGAGACGGGTACATCTGCAAATCATCCATGGTTAAAAGTCAAATAAACACTGCAAAAATAAACTCAGTCTGGGTGTTTTATGTTGGTTTTATGTGTAGACTTTTTCGGTAAACTAAAAATGAAAAATCTACACGAATAAAGCTGAACAGGAACAAGAAGTTCCAATAAGCTTGAATTAGTTATATTATAAGTTAAGCAGCAGTTTTTGGGTCTGGAGAGCAACCAAGGTCACATTTAGGACATCCTTCAGTCTCTTGTACCGTCTCAGTTGGGGATCTTTTGTGAAAAATAACTGGGGTGCATAAATTCAAGAAACTTTGATCCTGTTTGTTCACATCGTCCACGTTGCAGGCACCACCTCGTTAAATGCACAGCTTAGTTCTAGCTCCTAATTGCAATGTGATTAATATCTCAAAACGTGTGATTAGAACAAATGAACATTCTTGATTATTTTATCCATAGATTAAACTGAGATTAATTAATGAGTTAACAACTCGGGGCTTCCTAATAACTCCACGGGGACGTTTCATCAAAATTTAACAGGCTACTGAATCATTAATAGGAATTTGCTGATTATCACCTGTGGATGCGTCGTTCGTTTAAAAAAACAAAAACAAACTTGTGCTTTTGTTGGTGAGTGCACACCTGTGAAATTTATTTGATTTAAATGATAAGAATTAAAAATGTTTAGTCTCCCAGAGTTTGTTTAGGAAATCAAATAGGTCAACTTTAACAGCATAGCCATTATATTCACAGGAAATCACGTGCACAGTTTAATATCTGAGCATCTTTTCTTCTGTTCATATTCCCCTGTTATTAATCTCAGAGCATTAAATTCTTCCTTTGTAACTTTACTAAAAACCTTTTGTTGTTTTCGTCTTCGTAGTAAGTCGTTTTAGCTAATAATAATGTTGTATTAAGTGAACCTAGAACATACAATGTTCAAAAAATACGAACAGATGGATCTGCTTTTATCATTCCTGTTGTATGATTTTATGTTTAAAGACTAATAAAATGTCCACATTTTTAATATAATAGGTTAAAGTTTGACAAAAGTAAAACATATGATTGTTTTACCCTTAGTCCTAATCTACAATATCTTGAATTTAAGTTTTGCTCTGCATGAAATTGTGTACGAAAAAGTAATTTGTTACGGATATTTTTTTAAATTAAATTTCTTAGTTTGTTTTAGTGCTCAAACTTACCATAACATTTTTAATTCAAGATCTTAATTTTAGGATTTAGTGGTGGTTTTGTTCACAGCGAAGACAAAAGACTGACACTAGAGGGCAGCATTTCCTTATTTTATTAACTTATTTGTTGTCATTGATGGCTTTGTTTTTATTATTCCTGTATCATTTTGAGATCTGGGAGATTTTTACATTTTATGTCATTGTTCTTAATGTTAAACGTTTGTCTATAAATGTGAAAACAAATCAGTTTATTTAGATGTGGATAATTTGACTAGAGAAATGTAAAAAAAAAAATGCAGTAAATGTCCAGAAGTTTAACTTCCTGAGATTTTCTGTACAAATTAAGGAAAAACAGGGAGCAAATTTTCCTTTAAATTATTTTTTCATGTAGTTTTGCTTCGATACAGAGAGAACTCATTGTTTTAAAATTCAAGTCTGACTGATGGATCAATACATTTTCATAAAGAAAATAAATGAATAAGTTTGTCAGTCAGTCTTTACAAGATTTTAGATCTCTGGTGCCCACCAGTTATAAAGTGAGTACAACCAGTTGCTCCCACTTTAATGCTTATAGCCAGCTAACCTGCCTCCATCACGACACTCCTCTCCAAAGAGAGTCGCAGTCTGTCGTTGCCTCTCTCAGTCATGGTGTTGACAAATTAGTGGGCTGCGGCGTTGCCAACTCGACAGGAAAAGCAGTGGCAGAGAAATGAAAGGGAATGGTGTTTATTCCCAGAGCTCAACCCCTCTGTCGGCCTGTCACTCTTCCTACGGCCCTGAGGGGAGAAACGGAAGAAATCCTGCGCTTCCTTCCTTCCATACCTGTTAAATCATTCATCATCCAACTGCCTGATTATTTTAAAAAGCTAACAAGACTTTGGTTCTCTGGTGTGTGTGAATCAGGGAGAGAGGGTGAGTGGGGCATAGCTGGTGGTAGGATGCACCCCATGGCTCTTACCACCTCCCATCCTTGCACCCACTGCCACCCCCATCCCCTCAGCACTCATCTACCATGCACCCACTTCCCCTCAACTCCTTGGGTCTACAAAACTTTAAGTGGAGGGGAAACTCCCTCCTCCGTTTATCGTACTGCTTTCCTTCTGCGCTCCCTTATTTCTCCTCGTCTCTGCAAGGTTTTCATTTGTGTGGAAGTCAAGTGGAGTTTATCCTTTACTTGAATGTGTCTGTGAGGTGTTTAGTGAACAGTGAACTGAGGGTCAGAGGTCGGGGCAGAGGTCCTACTGAGCAATCCTGAACAATGGAGGTGATAGCAGACAAACAGCCAGGAAGTTTTATTGAGCCTCTTCTTGATTACGTGTCTGTGCATGTGCACGTATGAGACAAGGTGCTCTATTCTATCAGAGGAACAAAGTGCTAAATACTGACATGAATACTCAAGTTCATTGTGTATTAATCTACTTTATACTGTACAACAGAAATGTTTACATCTCTGCTCAATATGATTTAAATTAGGGATGCACAATATTGGATTTTTGGCCAATATTGTAACGAGTCTGTATGGATCAGCACAACACCTGACTCAGGACAAAATTAAAATAAAAGGTTTTATTTATTAAAGGCGTTCGTCTGGGGAGGATCTGAGCCTCAGTTCTGGTCCAATCTATGAAGACAGACAGGTTAGTGACTGCAAAAAGTTTCCGGGAGCTGAGAGAGGTGGTGTGCACGACACTAACCTTCTGTGGCAGGAGCAGGACTGAGACAGAGAACGTTGGAGGGCTGGGCAGGAAACAGAATCCAGGGACGTAGCAGGGGTCGAGAGCCAGGAGCTGTGTGAACAGGCAAAAGGATGATCCGTAGTCATGGTCGAAGAGGAGAGCGAGGTTGTACCATGTAGGCCGAGAGCGTGGTATCCAGACAGGGGCAAAGTCAAAGCGAGGAATCAAGAGGGAAGCTGTGGTCAAAAACGAAGAAACTAGGAACAAACGAATGCTGGATAATTTACTGGCTGTGAGGCTTTCAATAATCTGGCA